CCTCTGCAAACTGACTGAGGGTGCCCTCGATGATGTAATACTGCAAGCACGGCGCATGGTGGATTCAGCGCTCGGTATGTGAGAGCTGTAGTCAGCACGGACGCTCTCCCAGCTAGAGAGGGAGCTGGTGGTGCACTGGTGTCTCTGACTGGTGGACAGCCTACCTGTGGGTGACCCTCCAAGGCCTCCCTCTGGCTAGAAAACACCACTGTGGGCTATTTGGCTGCTGTGACCCTCAGCCTTCCCCGAGCCGCATCGTGCCTTACTTTGCAAGCCACTCGGTGTGGGCAGAGCTTCCCAAAGCCCAGGGGGGGCTGAATCCGCCGGAGCAGGGTCACCACATCCAAGTGTTTGATCCGTCCCCTAAAGAGGAAAGCACAGTGAGGGTCACATCCTTACCACAGGGCAACCTGCTGATCTGGCCACAGAGAGTGGATGCAGCTAGAAGCATCAGTGAGATCCTTCCAGCCCCGCGCTGCCACTCCCTGTAGCCTGGGCACAGCTTAAGGTATTATTTCAGGTCTCTTCCACTTGGTGAATGCCTCAGGATTTGCCCAGCACTCATCTAACTCCTACGAGTACAGAAAACCCAGCTGTCAGTCACACACCAGTCCATACTTGTGAGGATTGACTTCAGTGTTTTGAATGCTGCGGTTTCTCAGTGCACCAAGAGCCAATTTGGGATTGTCCCCTCCAGCACTGACCTGCTCAAGACTTACAGCTGCTTATTTACTTGTTGGTCATAGGGCTATAGCAGGCACAGAGGTACAAAGGGTCTCTTTTTCCCCTGGTGCTTTACCTCCCATATAAATAGCCCCAAGACTTTGTGTTTTGAGACTTGTTTAGGCTTTGGGCTGTCACTGGAGCCACTGCAAAACAAAGTGCTGAACTTCCTCCACAGAAGCAGTTGGGTTTAAGTTCTTCATGTTAAATGAACTTAATGTTCTTAAGTTAAATGGCATCTCAAAAGAAGAATTCTCTCTTGGAGGAAGGAGAGCTACCAGAGTCAAAGGTGGGGCTTCAAGCATGGGACATGGATGGGGAAGAGGGAAAAAAAAAGAGCTTCCCACTTATAAATGGGAAGGAACACAATGTCATCTGGACTGAGCAGCTATCTATTATAAGGCTCCATCCACTTCAGTCTTGCCTTCAGATAAGCACAGATAGTAGCATCTGTTTTGTTAACAAACAGGATATTTATTAGAATTCTGTGCTTATCCCCCATGTACATTAAAAATCTCTCTGGGAAGTCACCATGCATGGGAAGAAAGTTTAAATTTATCTGCCACTCTGATAATGTGACGTGGCCTCACATATTGCAGAACCCAAGCTCATATTAATCTTGACACTATGTCTCCTGAAGAGATCTGCTTTTAGTTTACACCAAGATCTCTTTCTAAGGTTTTTGCATTACAAAGTGGGCTTTGCAATTACAACTGTCAACTGCACTGTAATGCCACAGGGATCGAAATGCACTTTAAGCCTAAGCATGTGTCAAACTGAGCATATCATACTGAATGTCAGCTCAGCCTTTGTGTGAGTTGTTCTTGTGTAACTTTAAATCCCTGCAAGTGTGAATAACCCTGAGGACAATGTAACGCAGCCCTGTGAAGGTCCAGATTGTGATGGGCCTGTATGACATATGACACAACAGAGATTTGAGCAGCTCTACTGTGAGTAGAAAGTCAAATGAGAAGAGTCACAGCTCAATATCCCAAACACAAACGATAATAAATCGACTGAGGTAACAGTGTGGCCTAAATGCTGAGATTTTTGTGTGTGTCCTTGCACTGCTGGCTTTTAGATTCACCAGCAATACCTTGTGGAAGTATCTATTTTAGGATTTTTGCAGGTAAAAAAAAAAAAAGTGTTCCTGCAAGAGGAACATGGCACTTACAGCATTGGGTCTAGAGAACAGAAAATAATGGGCCTGTTCTCCTGAGGAGCTCTGCTATCTAGGCTGGGTTACTTACTTGGCTTCAGGATCATACTCTGCCCAGATCCTTTTAAACTCATCCAGGTGGTGTGGTCCTAAAATGGACCAGTCCCGTGTCAGGTAATCAAAGTTATCCATTATAACAGCTACAAAAAGATTGATGATCTGCAAAGAAGGACAGAGATGACTTGATGGATGAGGCAGGTAACAGTAGACTTTATTAGGTTCTCCATTTAAGGAGATCTGGATTTGGACTGATGAAACTAGGAAGCCATTGGGGGTGGATTCTCTGTTCCCCCATGCCAGCCCCTCAGTTTAAATGGGAAGATCCCAGAGGTAGGACATTCTCAGCTGGTCACATTTTTCTTTTCCCTTCTAAATGGAAGAGGCCCAAGTTTGCTGAATGCTTAGCCATGCCGTGATGGCTTTTTATTTACCTGTGTCTTTGCCCACAAGAACAGGGTAGTGGTGGAAGAACCTGGGATTTATCCTCTATAGGCAATGGGGCTGAGATAAAAAAATCCTTTCTTCTGGCCCAAGAACAAAACTTTTAGAACGTTGCTGCTGTTTGCTGGGAGAGCTTTGTGTGGTGATGCCAGCTGCAGAGCATGTGCTGTCGCTCTGAGCAATGCCGCATTGCCAACACCCAGCAGATGCAAGTGGGATATGTGTATTCTCACAGTCATTGCTGCTGGCAGGGGAGGAAAAAAAAACCCTGTTTCAGCAGCCAGAAGGAAGGTAGGAGGGAAGGTGGGAAGTGTGGCTGAGGCATTGCTAGCCTCAGCACAGCCCACAACACGCTAATTTGGGTTTCTCATTAAGGGGGAAGAGCGCTCCTTTGTTGTGCCCAAAGGATTGGGGTGGGAAGCAGAGCATCTCCCAGAGCTGGAGGGAGGCAGGAAGGGCAGTGACAAGGGGGGTGTTGTCACTGAAAGGGAAAGACCCCACGGGGAGATTTCCCCTCTTTGAGATCATTCTCCTGCTGTGCAGTGCTGATGTCTGGGGAGACAGGGGCTCGGTGTGACAAAGGGCAGGTTTTGGTGGCTGGGGTGGACTCACCAGGAAGGCACAAAGCATGTAGAAACTGATGAAATAGAAGACTGCAAAGCTGCTGCCACAGGAGTGATCAGCTTCAGTGGAGTTGGCTGGCTCCGACTCTGGGTCACACTTCTTGTCTGGGAGACAAGCCAGCATGATTTCCTGCCAGGCTTCACCGGTGGCACACCTGGGCATGGCAAAGGGCAAGGGAAGACAGCGGTGACCTTCGACGTGAGAGGGACTGGCACATTAGCAACCTATTCCTGCTCCCATTAATGTTAATGGGAATTTTACCACTGAAGTCAATTAAGAACAAGTTAGGTTGATAATCAGGCTTTGACATTCACTGGCCTACCCTGCTCTTCTTTGTGACTTTGTTGCTGTTATCAGCATGTTGTTCCTGACTGACTTTGGCTAGTCTGGGTACGGGGTTGTTCATACTCCAACCAGTCAGTCATTGAGATATGTGTGACATGGCTATGGATTGCATGAAAAAAACTCTGAAAATGAGGAGAGTGTTGAATTTGTGACAACTCCCCACCCCTTCAGCACCCCTCCCTGGCACACAGCTGAAGGATGATGTGCTAGGCTGAGCTGGGCATGGCCATACCAAAGCATGAGTGGGAATTCATGTCCCTTTCCTTGCTAAAATAAGCTGGAAGTCATACTAGCTCAATTTGAACCAAAGGAGGAGTTTGTGATGCAGATCAACATTTGAGAGCACTGAAAACTGGCTACATTGCTTCTGAGTAGGAGGACTTGCCTCCCTCCCCAGTGCTGAGTGTTGGCCAATGTTGGCTGGCAGAGTACAAGGCTTAATGGACTGGTTGTTTCATCTGACGTAACTCCTAAGCTCCCTCATTAAGGGACAACATCCTTCTACTCACCTGATGAGCATGACACGGTAGAAGGAGATAAGCTGTGTCCAAGAGCAGAGGAATCATGCTCCCAGAGCTGTCAAACACCCACCTGAAAAGCAGCAGCACTGCCTGGGGGAAGGTCTGGAAGTTGTTGTTGCGGTTGATTTCTGTGGTATCATTCAGCGCAATTTTACCAAACACCTGGCAGAAAGCAGAGGTCTTTTCAGGTTAGCCCTCCAAAATCCCCAAACATCTTCTCACCTGTAGCTTTTGCCCTCACCCTGACTCTGATATTGAACACAATCTGCTCTTCTCTTAAAAAAATTGTTTCCACAGGTGTTTCATATTTGCTGTTGCTCCCCTTGCTTGTGCTTTATCACCAGAGAAACACTCATTTTGTAACAAGAGGCATCTTTTGTAAAAACAAGACATCCTTCCTTATTTCATACACTGGGACTATGTGATATGGGGCCTTATGTTAACAGGCACTCATATGGGGAGGTGGTCCAGCTGAAAGAAATCAATAACACAGAAGAAAAGGCTCCTTCCTTCATTGCTTATCTGTCTTCACCAGGAGGAAATAATAGCAAAAGACCAGCAGCTGCAAAGCCTTGAGCTTCCAACTCTGTGGGGTGCCTTGGATCTTCCCAAAACAATGTAAAGTACATTGCCTTGGATCTGGAGATCATCCAAATGCTTGCCCTTCTAGTAGCCATGCTTGTCATCAGCAGGTGTTTCAGTCCCCTCCTCAGAATGAAGCAGTGTGAAGATGATGACTAGATTTGCCCAGACAAGGCAGGTTTACAGCTTCTTTCCATACCCAACTGACTGTTGCTGCACCAACTGGACACACACACA